ACCCAAGCATCCTTATAGAGACACCAGCCGTGTACATGATTTATAGCAAGTCAGTCAAGGTAAAGCCTATAGCTTCCCTTCACGTTTCGACATTATCAGATTACTTCAGAAGCTGGCAGCAGCTACCATAAGTAACAAGCTGTCAGGGTAAATAAATCACTCTCTCAGAAATAAGAGTTTTAAAAGTATAGATTAGTATGAGCAAAGGTGGGCTTTAGTAATTTTTATCATTAATTTGCCCCCTCTCCCCCATCAAGTCTATGGGAGAGAAAAAAAAAACAGGGTATGTCATTGGATTTGGAAAGAAGAGGAAAAAATTAATTTGAGGAAGAGTAGATGGGGGGAGTAATAAAAGACAGAAAAAATAAAAAGGAGGAGAAAAAGAAAAAGGAGAAAGAAAAAGGGAGAGGGAAGAGAGGGGGATGGGAGGGAGATAAAGAGAGAGAGAGAGAGAGAGAGAGAGAGAGAGAGAGAGAGAGAGAGAGAGAGAGAGAGAGAGAGAGAGAGAGAGAGAGAGAGAGAGAGAGAGAGAGAGAGAGAGAGAGAGAACGAGAACACAAAGGGAAAAGCTTCAGGGCTAGAGATCTACATGAGAAACAACAGCCAATGGGAAAGCTTGTGGCTCCAATGTACAAATCATCAAACAATCTATTTGTGACCATCTAAAAAAGTAGTAGGTACTGAGGAGCAACCAATCTGGCTTTGCCAATGTAATTTCCTCCTATGATAGAATGACAGGCCACAGAAATAAGGAAGCAGCAATTGATGCTATCTCTGGGCTTCAGTGAGGCTCTCCTTCGCTTTGGTTCCACATGCTGTTCTCATCAAGGAGCTGGGATGCTCAGCCAGGCCTGTGCTGCTGTTCTAGCAAGGATACCAGTGACTGGAGGGCCCCACCCAAAAGATGGTTATCAATGCCTCAGCATGCAGGGTGACTGGTGAAGCCAGGATCACTAAGTATCTCTGTGTTCGGTGAAGAGTATGACTAGTCCCTATTTGGGTAAGCATCTTGTCAGCTTGTGAGTTCAGAAGAGAAGGGAAATTACTAAGGCCAGGAATGCTCGGGAATTATTTCATAAAAGATAGGCAGCTTGATGAAAGACTTAGTAACTCTGATCAATACAATGAGCCGAGACAATTCCAAAGGACCCACGATGAAGAATGCCATCCATCTCCAGAGAGAGAGAGCTGATGAACGCTGAGTGCAGATTGAAGCATATGTTTTGAACTTTCTTTTTCTTGTTTGCGTGTCTGTGTGTTTTCTTTTGCAACATGAAAATATGGAAACATGTTTTGGAAAATATGGAAATATGTTTTGCATGACTTCACATGTATAATTGATATCATATTGCTTGCCTTCTCAAGGGGTGGGAGAGGGGAAGCAAGGAGAGAATTTGGAACCCAATATTTTAAAAAGTAAATGTTAAAAATGTTTTAAATGTAATTGGGAGATACTTCAAGAAATAAAAATATATTTTTAAAACGTTGCAACTTGAGCGGGGCCTTAAAGAATGGGTATAATTTCAAGATAAATGATAAGTTGGAAAGTATTTAGAAGAGGGGAGAATGGTAAAGGGCCTAAGATCATGTCATATGGAATGGAATTCTACAAGCCCCTTCATACCAGAATGGGATGAAACAATCCAGATAAATCCAAAATAAGGCATTTTAATGTTGACTTTCCTCATAACAGCCCCATGAAGGTAAGAAGGGAAGGAATAATCATTTATGAAGCAACTACTATGTGCCAGGCACTGTGCTAAGCGTTTTATAAATACTATCTCATTTGATTTGATATACTGTACTAATGATGGGGCATCTAGGTGGCACAGTGGATAGAGCACCAGGCTTGGAATCAGGAACACTCATCTTCATGAGTTTAAATTCAGCCGCAGATACTTACTAGCTGTGTGACTCTAGGCAAGTCATTTAACCCTGTTGGCCTCAGTTCCTCATGTGTAAAATGAGCTAGAGAAGGAAATGGCAAACTGCTCCATTATCTTCGCCAAGAAAATTCCAAATAGGGTCATGGAGAGTCTGACATGACTGAAATGTCTGAACAGAAACAACAAACTAGTTATGAGGTAGCTAGTACACTGTTATTGACCTCATCCTAAATAGGAGGAAACCAAGGGTCATTGAGGTGAAGTGATCTGCCTAGTGTTGCACAGCTAGTAAAGATCATGGCCAGGACAAGAATCCAAATCTCTCCTGACTCCACCTCTACTGTTCTTTCTCCTAAGCCAAGCTACCTCATGTGATTAGATCATAGCCATCGGGCTTAGGTATTTAGGCAATATTGTAAAAGATGAACAGTAAAGTGATAGATTAGAAGCAGGAAGGCTTCTTAGGAAGCTATTGCAGTAGAGGATGAAGAGAGATGAGGTCCCTGCAGCACTGGTCATCATGGATTTAGAAAGGAGGGTGTGCATGTCTTCATTCACAGAACGAACTTAAGCCTTTTCTTCTCTAACTTTAACATCCTCCATTCTTGGAGCTTGGGCATTTCAAGGTCTTCACAATCTGGTTCCCACCTACTTTCCTTAACTGCTTTCCCAGTGCTCTCCCTAACCTTACATTTTAGCAAACCTGGACTTCTTGCCGTGCTTGTATGTGACATTTTATCATCTACCTTCAAGCCTTTACTGATGCTAATTGCCAGTCTTTATCTTAACTTCTAGAATCCCTGACTTCTTCCAAGTCCTAGTTCAAGTACCACCTTCCACCTGGACCCCTTCCCAAATCTCTTTATTTTAATACTTCCCCCAGGATTTGTGTGTGTGTGTGTGTGTGTGTGTGTGTGTGTGTTGTGTGTGTTGTGTGTATTTGTGTATCTTGTATTAACTTGTTTATGTACATGCTACTTTCCCCTACCAGAATGTGCCTACCCTTAGTCAAGGTAAAGCCTTTAGCTCTTTATTTCAAGGGTTACTGAGCCTTCTTTCTTCTTTAGGGAAACGGGGGCTTTTTGGTTGTCAGGTTGCAGTGAGGAAAAGATTCCAATATCTGAGTCACATTTTGCAAAATAACTGATAACTCCAGGAAACAAATCCATCTCTGAAGCCAGTGGAAATGTAAAACTTTGCTTCTACCAGAAGACATTAGCATTTTTAGTGGCGACAGGTACGCAACACTAAATTAAATTAAAAGGCTTTATACCACCATTAGAAATGTCCTTTCTCCAGCTCCACAAAATACAAATAGAAAAGAAATGAAGTGAGAGAAACAGAAACATCCAGGGCTTATCATATTCCTTTGTTATGTAAAGGAACTAAAGAACCCTATTTGGGGAGGGGGGTTTTTGCATTGTCATGTTAAAAATGTACTTGCTGGTTAAAAACACATAGATTTTAAGTAGGTGCTTGCATGTCCATGCGTAACTAAGTATTTTCAACCGTCTCCAAAAAGAGAATTGTGCCATAAACATATACAGCTTATACATTTCTTCCTGCAAATATGTGGGACCTTGGCAAGATGAAAACATAAAAGTAACCACTTCCCCAAATTTTAGGTGTGATCCTATAACTAAATTTCCCCTGTGGTTATTTTTCAATTTCCCTTTTATGGTGACATGGTTCCCACTTACCTCTTTTTCTTTCATAGCTGAACAGATACCCAAGAACTCTCTCTCTCTCTCTCTCTCTCTCTCTCTCTCTCTCTCTCTCTCTCTCTCTCACACACACACACACACACACGTACACATATACACACACTCTACAGATTTGTCATTGTGACCTTTCATATTTTTATGCTTTTATAAGTAATAGTGATCCCACTTTGCCACAGTAGGCACACAAGTACTGGGGGGAGGGATTGGGAGACGGCTGAGGGGGGAGAGGGGAAGCAGGAAGTCAAGTAAAGAAGGACAAAGATAAATACCGTATTAACATGCTAGAACCTGAATGCAGAGGACATTGTTCAGGGAATTATTCAACGGATGAAAACTGGTTGAAAGCTAGTGAAGCAGGCAGTACACAATGCAAAATTAACCAGTGACCTTTACCAGGAGCATCAAAGGTCAAAACAATTTGTAAGGCACTACTTATGAAAAGTCGTGTGGTAGTCGGGTCGGGTGGCTGATAACCTAAGTACCTACACAGGCTAGAACCCCACATAGAAAGAGAGGAGTAAAAACTGTTCCTTTACTGTTGCTCTGTAATGGTGACAACATTTAATAAATAAAGAATAATTAAGAGCCTATCGTTATAATCCCTGCTATCTCTGTCCTCAAAAGAAAAAATAATAACGAATTTCAACTCACTTTACTGACCACTGTCAACTCGAGAGGTCTAAGATATAGTTAACAGTCTTCTTGGTCTCAGGGTTTTCGTTTTTCTTTTGTTTTTCATCCAAAATAAAAGACTCCTCCAAAAAAACCTGAAAGGGGTTGAGGAAGAACACTCCAGAAATTGCTCTCCATCTTGTGTTTTACCCACTGTATTTTCCCCTCCGTATGAGTTGAGAGCTCCCCTCTCAGTAGGGGCTTTGGTCATGAGAAATGAATGTTTTTCCCCTTTGCCAGTAAGAAATCTTAAGGCCTAGTGTTAAAGTCACTGAAGCATAACAAGTTATAGCACAGCACGCTCACTGATTAGCTAGGTTCCATAACCATAAAATCAACAATAATCTACCTACATGCCCTTTCTGCAGGTGGTTGACCTATAAATGTTAAGTAAGTCAGTAACAGTTCAGCCTAAATTACATTGGAAAGCATTATGCGTAAACATTAATGCTGTAGCATGTTCTTAACTATACAACTGGGATTCAAGTGTCGGCAAAATAATCTATTACCCAATATGATTTTGTACACCCCCCCCATAACTTCTTTTTCTTTCCCATCTGATGTAATGGGATTTAGCCTTTATCATGATCAATAGAAAATTCTTCCCAGCTAAAAAGTCCTCCTCCAATTTTCACTTTCTCCAACCTTCCATCCACATCTGTCCTACATATACAAAGATAACAGGAACAATCCACTCTTGGTAAGACATATAGCTTACCAAGAGGTCATAAGAAAAGTGAGCCATCTACCCCTTCTTGACCAGACCGTCTTGGAACCAGGGATATATTGTCAATACAGCTCACCAGGGTGAGGTCCACAAGAAAAAAAAAAGTGTTGTCCAACTGAATCCCATGAGTTCTGGATTCTGAGATAACCAGTAACTGCCTCCTAACTTAATCTAGAACAGGAAGAAGGGGCAGCAGGTTAAACTCCCTCCCAGTTATCTCTGCTTCCAAAAGACATGGATACAGATAGATACAATCTTGGAAAGAACCTTGAAAGGAACCATTATTGCTCCTGGTCAAAGACTTAGAATTTAATATGGAAAGAACAGGAAATAGCTACAAAAAAGAAGACAGAGGTGACTTAAGCAAGAATGTGTAAGGAGAACCAGTCACTGTTACCCTTCAGGTGTTCTTCAACAGTGAGAAAGGGTAGCTGAAGGAAATCAAACAAAGTAGGTGCTTAGTAAATACTCATTAATTCATTTGTAGATTGTGCTAATGACCTATCATAGTCATGGTTACATCCCCTTGTCTGATTCTATCACTGTTGAACAGAATAAAGGTCTCCTTCTGAAGGTACAAAATCCTTACTGAAATCCAAAGGAGAAAGTTGGAAGATTGATGAAGATGGGTGCTGTGAATTTGATGCTTGAGATGCTAAAGCTAATGAAACACTTGAAGCAGCTCTATTATTTGCCTAAATTCAAGTCCATATTCCAAGGTCCCTCTCTTTGTAAAGTAAGAAAAGGTACCCATCACATAGTCCTCCCCAAGCCCTGACCTCCTGTCCCATATCATCACTACCATGCAAATTCTTCACTCAATGGAGTTCCCTTTGACCCTAGTCCAATGGGCCTCGACCAGGAGACAGCCAAGAGAAAAGGACGTCAGCTTTTGAGAGGATTATAATTGTGATCAGACCATTCCAAACATCCAGGTGACAAATGAACAATTCCATAAAATATCCATGAGGTTTTGTCCATGTGACACCAAACACTTGGAAATATATTTGGAAACATCTGTACGTTTAGCTGAATTGTTTAGGATTCAGCTGAGAATGCCAATGGAGTAAACTCAACTTGGATATCACAAAACTTGCTAAGCCTTGCCCAAGTATAGCAGAGTCTTCTTATTATGAAAGCAATAGCAACTATATTTTTCTATATTAAGAAGTCTCCAGTTTGGAGGCTTTTTAATGCCATTGAGGACTAGCTCCGGACTTTCTCCCCTGTGGACATATACACATATATCTGAGCAAAATACACATACACACACACACACACACACACACACACACACATACACACACACAAGAAAATACCATAGAGGACACAAATGGTTAGATGTCAAAGTAATAATATAGATGTCACAGAGTTTAAAAATATCAAGTGTGCATTTCCCTAACTCTACTAGCATTGCCATCTGCAATTTCTCTTTACTTTTTTGTTTCCTGTGAGAGAGAAAAGCTACATCTCTACAACCCAATTGCCTTCAAAGTAGCAAGAAATTATACACAGAATGATGGCTCTTAGACCTAAAAGGACCCTCTGAAAGCCCACTGAACTCAACGACTCAAGGCATCTCTTCTCCTTTGCCTTTTAAGCTGGTCAGGTATCACCCTCGCCATTTCAAGGTGAGAAAACTGAGGCCTGACAAGATTTACCAATTCACCAAGTGTAACGTAAGCTAGTGAACGCCCTAGGAGGAACTAGAACCCAAGTCTTCTGCCTCCTTGTGAAGTTTTCTTCCCACTCTAGCTGGCTATGACTTCATCCAAGGAAAGTATCAGTATTTCTCCAAACATACAGCCAATGAGATCAATTTGCCCTCCTAAAACCCAGATAAATTTTAAAACTAAGAGTAAGCGGCAACGCACATGCTACTATTAGCTATTTATTGTATTCCAAAGCTTGAAAACAATCGGGAAAATGGAAAAGTTACTTTTTTCCCTACACAAATTTGTTAATGGGTAGCATAATGGTGAGCCGTGTTTGCTGGCACTCTGTGAAACGTCTACAAATTGCCTCTGCAAAGCATTATAGGTTGTCAGACTAATGTAGTTGAAGATAATTTGGCCTTTCAGTGAATTGAACCTCACAGCACGATTATACTCTAGCACCAAGTGGAGTGTCACAATTATTCTTTCATGCTGAATTACCATATAATGTCATGAGTCTACCTGTCATAAGTCCTGGAGCCTAGTTTGAATTTTTTTTCTAAATCTATGGTTCATGGCAAAAAAAAAAATGAATTTTTTTTTGCTTCTAATGGAAATCGGATTGTTTTTATCAACAATAAATTTCATAGCAAATCAAAGGATATGCTTGGACAAACAATCCGATACTCAAGGTTAAAAAACACACAAATAATAAATTGCTGGTATGTCATGTTCAATTTTTACTACTGCATTACATTGCAATAACCATAACAGGATCTAAATTGTTGTCAGAACATTAAACAAACCCCCATACTTCACAAAGGCATCCTGCCTGAGTAATTCACACAGCGGAAACAAGGATCAAATTTTCCACTGTCCCACCGCCGCACTATACATCAGTGTGGTTTTATGTATTTGGACAATTCGTTGAATAAATTACTTCCATCCTGCCTGCTCTTGCCACTTCTGTTAAGAGTCATATCGGTTTTAATTGTCTTTCTGTCTATACTGAGCCACTGTTTTTCTGGCCTTTTCCTGTGCTCACATCCTGAACCCCAAAATAAACTGACTGCTGAAAACATCTCCGTGCTAGGTAACTTGAATGATGCCAGTGCGATACAACCACAAAGTAGGGGCCATACTGTCTGTGGCTCCTCAGTTTCACCTACCCACCTAATCCCCCTATCACCACCTTCTAGTGATTCCTAAATATTGGAGGGGATATTTGGATCTACTTATTAGTAGACATGATGAAGGTTTCCCCCAACTCTTTTTGTTTCCATATAATACTTGACTTGCTTGAACCAGTTCCGCCCTTTAAAGTATTAATCTTGGCATACCGAACAGAGTTTAGTCTAAGTGAAACAATACTGTTCCTTGGTCAGAATCCAAAGCAAAACAAATCCCTTGCTGTATGCTTCAGGATAGAGTAACACAGGTGCTATTCCATTAGATATCTCTCTCCCAGGAAAATGGCAGCCCCACCTCTTCAAGACTGGTACCTAATCCCAGAGGCAGATACCCAGGGTGAGATTATAGAACAAGGAACACCATAATCAGCACAAATAGGCTTTGTCTATACGAGGCAGACTTAATCACTTCCCATCATGTTTTACACCACCTCCGATTGGGAATTAAATTGACATCGAGTAAACAGAGTCAGATCAATTTGATCCAATTCTGTTTTCTAAAGGAGATACCTTTGTGTTTGCCTGAAGTTCAGCATAAGTATTAATACAGCCAGAGACTCCACCTGGGTCTGTCTGGACAAATGAAACAGGAAGAAACATAGTAGAGTGGAAAGAGTGCTGACCTTGGAGCTGGAAGGAAGGCAGCATGTGTCAAGCACCTACTATGAGCCAGGCACTGTGCTAAATGCTTTGCAAATATTACTTCATTTGATCTTCACAACAACCCTAAGAAGTAAGTGTTGTTATTTATGCGTGTGTGTGTGTGCGCGCGCACATGGCACATATATATGTCCCCATTTTACAGTTGAGGAAACTGAGGCAGACAGTTCAATTGATTTGCCCAAGGTCATACAAGTAGTGAATGTCTGAGGCTAGATTTGAACTCAGGTCTTCCTGACTTCAGGCCCAGTGCTCTATCTACTACACCACCTAGCTGCCTTTGGAACAACTGGAATCATCTAAGTATGTGAATTAAAGGCCCAGTTCTTTCACTTAATGGCTGTGTTTCTTTGGAGCAAGTCACTTCATCCATTTAGACCTCAGTTTCCTCATTAGCAAAAAATGAGATTGAACTAGATGGCCTCTGAGGTCCCTTTCAGCTCTATGCTTTACTCCCTTTCCCCAACCTTTGGCCACAATCACAGCAGAGGTAGAAGACAGTATTAAAGTTCTAAGATTCAGTAAGGGAAATAACATGAGAAAGGACAACACTGGGCTGCCAATGGGTAGGCATGAATGGATTATGGTCTAGATTACTGGATGGAGTATTCCCATGAATGGAATCATAGACCTAGTGGAGAATAGGAGGAATGCTACCCCATACCACTGGATTGCTAGAAAGTAGCGATCCTTACTGTTGACATCTTCCTGTTACCCCCAAAACAACTTGGCCTCCATTTTAAATTTTTCTTCTTCTATTACAGCCATCAAACACTTGAGTGGAATCTCAATGTAACTCTGCATTCAGATGCCATGCTGTGCTAATGACAAAGTGATATTATACAAGGAGACTTCCAGAAGGAAACGTCCTCCAATGGACGCTAAAATGAATTCAACCTGCATTCAATTCTGTATGCCAGCAAATAATGCCAGTGAGCGAGGCTCTAGTGGATTTGGGGTATGGGTTTTGTGGGGAATTGTTTGTATATGTGTCATATGATGAAAGTAAACTCCCTTTCTAAAAGCTGATTTCCAACCTTCTCACCCCCCATGTTAACTAAGGCCTTGTTGGGTGGTAGTAAGTAACTCTTTATTTATAACCCCAAAAGCAATAATAAACACAGAACTATGATTTACTTTGAACTTCCCCTATTATTAAAACACTTTGTCTTCTGGTTTTATTGATTTACACTCTGTCCTACTTACTTTTTTAGCATCTGAAAACAATCAAGGCCCAAAGCTGTGAAAAGGCTTCGACATTAATTGTTGGGAGACAGCGGTTTTATTCAAGGCCACGGGTTTGAGTCCTTCCTCCCCAGCCCTACAGCCTCTGCTGCTGCTGCTGCTGCATTCTGGTCCCTAGATGATTTATGGTCTTGTAGCAATAACGATGCGCCAGAGCCATTAACATATTGGCAGGCCCCAGGATGGATTAGCGGCATTGATTATTTCATGGGCCACTGATACCCATTTGTTAAGAGGAGCTCGAAGATGGCCTCTCCCTGACTGAAATCTTTTACGAGCAGACAGCATTTTAAGTATTAGGAACCTGGGATTTGGGCCATTTTTTATCA